TCGGCCCAGGCTGGTGGCGGCGGCGGGGAGCTTCCTTCTCTTGGCCGGCGCCGGCGCTTGCGGCGGCGGGTGGGAAGCGTTGACGAAGACGACGGCGACAACGATGACGACGAAGACGGCGCTCCGCAACCGTGCCTCTTGGGGTCTCGTCGGAAGGCCCTCGGGGGCCTTCAAAGGGCATTTGAAGCCTTCTGGGCGCCTCTTGGGCGTCTCTTGGGGCCTCTCTGCGGTGGTGGTGGTGGTGATGGGCTGTGGTGGTGTGGTGGGTGCTGGGTGGTGGTGGTGGTGGTTGTGGTGGTGGTGGTGGTGTGGTGGTTTGTGGTGGTGGTGGTGGTGGCGGTGTGGGTTGTGGTGGTGGTGGACGCGGTGGTGGTGGTGATGGTGGTGGTAGTGGTGTGGTGGTTGGTGGCGGTGATGGTGGTCGTGGTGGTTGTGGTGGATTATCGTGGGTTGTGGTGGTGGTGTTGGTGATTGTGGTGGTGGTGGTGGTGTACATACTGGTTTGTGGTGATGTTGGTGGTGGCTGTAGTGGTGGTGGGTTGTGCTGGTTGTGGTGGTGGTGGTGGTGGCGGTGGTGGTGGTGGTGGTGGAGGCGTGGTGGTTTGTGGTGGTGGTGGTGGGCTGTGGTGGTGGTGGTGGCGGTGGTTGCGGTGGTTGTGGTGTGGTGGTTTGTGGTGGTTTGTGGTGGTGGTGGTGTTGGCGGTGGTGGTGGTGGGTTGTGGAGGTTGTGCTGGTGGTGGTGGTGGCGTTGAAGGTAGTGGTGGCGGTGGTAGGTTGTTCTGGTGGTGAGGTGGTGGTTGTGGCGGTGGTGGTGGTGGTGGTGTGGTAGATTGTGTTGTTGGTGGTGGTGGTAGTGGTGGTGGGTTGTTGTGGGTGTGGTGGTGGTGGTGGTCGGTTGTTGTTGTGGTGGTGGTGGTGGTGGCTGTGGTGGTTGCGTGGTGGCTTGTGGTGGTGGTGGTGGTGAGTTGTGATCGTGGTGATGGTGGTATTGGTGGTGGCCGTGGTGGTGGAGGCGTGGTGGTTTGTGGTGGTGGTGATGGGCTGTGATGTTGTTGGTGTTGGCGGTGCTACTGGTGGTGGTGGTGGTGGTGGTGGTGGTGGTGGTGTGTGGTATGTGGTATGTGGTGGTGGTGGCGGTGGTGGGTTGTGGTGGTGGCGGTGGTGGTGGTGGTAATGGTGGTGGTAGTGGTGTGGTGGTTTGTGGTGGTGGTGGTCGTGGTGGTTGTGCTGGGTTGTGGTGTGTTGCGGTGGTGGTGGTGGTGGTGGTGGCGTTGAAGGTAATGGTGGTGGTGGTGTAGTATTTTGTGGTGATGGTGGTGGTGGTGGTGGTGGGTTGTGCTGGTTGTGGTGGTCGTGGTGGTGACGGTGGTGGTGGTGGTGGTTTGTGTTGGTTTGTGGTGGCGGTGGTGGTGAGGCCTTGGGGTCTTCCCGCCGCCGTGTTTCGACTTGGGGTCAGGTGGTGGTGGTGGTGGTGGTGGTGCGCTGTGGTGGTGGTGGTGGTGATGATGGTGGTGGTGGTGGTTGTGGCGGTGGTGGTGGTGGTGGTGGTGGTGTGGTGGTTGGTGGTGGTGGTTGTTGTGGTGTAAATGGCGATTTGTGTTTCCCCTCTGCGGCCTCTGGGGCCTTCTCTGGTCATCGTTGCAGCGTTCCCGCCGTCCGCGCTGCTGGCCGCCGCCAGCGCCGGCGCCCGGGGGGGGGGTTTGGACCCCCCCCCGGTGGCACCTCTCTGGTCATTGTCGCTGCGTCTGCCGTCGGCGCTGCTGGCCGCCGCCAGCGCTGGCGCCGGCGCCAAGGGGGGAGGAGGGGTTTGAACCCCCCCCCCCCTCCCCCGGGAGGGGGGGTGGGGGGAGGGGGGGTGGGTTAGGTGGCAGGGGAGTCCCCCCTGTTTCTGATCGACGGCGCCGAGTGTTGGGGGGGGCACCCCCCAATTCGAAACGCGCCGCCGAATGTTCGCAAGGCAAGCGCCCGTGAAAAACACTCTTTCTATCCCTTGGAGACTCCTCCTTGGGGTGCCCCGGCGCTACGCCACTGTATATCGCAGTGATCATGGGGCTATGAAGAGAGAGAAGTCTGGGGGGCCAAGCCAGGCAAATCTTCTGAGACACCCCAGCGCTCTGGCCGCGAAGGCACGGGTGAGTGTCCTACCGCCTTGCGGCTCCTTGGGGTCCCCCAGTGCCACGCCTTCTATATCGCGGTGATCACGGTGCTTTGAACAGAAAGGGGCCTGGGGGGCCAAACGAGCAAGCCGCTCGATGACTTCCAGAGATGCCCGAAGCGTCAAGGCAGCCCACGACGCCCCCCCAAGACGGCACACGAGTACTCTAATGATATCAATTATCATCACCACCACCATCATGACCATCATCACAACCATCATCATCATCATCATCATCATCATCATCATCGTCATCTCATCATCATCTCATCATCATCATCACCATCATCATAAACATCATTATTCTGACCAATGATCATGATCACCATCATCATCATCATCGTCATCATCATCATTGTCATCATCATCATCATCACCATCATCATCATCCACCGTCACCGTCACCATCACCACCATCACCATCACCATCCCCATCATAATGTTTACCATCATCATCATCATCATCGTCATCATTATCATCATCATCGTCATTGTCATCATCATCATCATCATCATCATCATCATCGTCATCATCGTCATCATCGTCATCACCATCATCACCATCATCATCATCGTCGTTACCATCCTCATCGGTTCGAGTAACGGCCACAAACATGTTGGGCTGGAACGGTGGCGGCACTTGCCGCAAGCAGCTGGATATCTTCCCCGTTGTATTTAGCTCAAGAGAAGCCGCGCAATCGGCAGAGAAGCGCGTGCGACAAGACGAAACGAGCAATGCAATGATGGCAGCGCACCAATTGACCATCATGGAAGAAAAAGCGAGAGATGGGCCTATCTTCCGAGTTCTAGTCGTTCAGTTGTCGGATTTCTGCGGCTCGCTTGGATTTATCATGCGGCGGGCAAAGTGAATGCCCTGAACAATAAATACATGAATGTCTGATATTTCATGACAGCTCCCTAGTCTCGCTATTCGAATGCGTATACACACATATGGGCAACCATCTTGTAACACCTACGTTCTTCCAGCATGTCATAGCCCGGACAAGCCAAGTACATGCGTGCATGCTTGCAAGTTTACATGCGCGACCAGCCTTGCTTCCTTCACCAACGCTAGTTATCGCACGTACCATCGCGTTTGAGCCGACGCGTAACTCTAATTTACGCGATTGCGGGTGTCACCTGCGCCCTAGTTGGGACGTCGCTACGAGTGTTTTGATCAATATAGTTCTTCCACCAAAACAAACCTTCGACATGTCATTTTGAGGAGGTGTTGGGCGGAATCGCCGGGAAGCCTTCGACTTCTCGACTTTGAAGTGAAAAGGTTGCGACTTGTGATTTGGAGGAAGTCCTGAGCGGAGTCGCCATGTCTACTTCGAACCCGAGAACTTCGGCATCGGACGATCGAGGAAGCCTCATGCAGAATCGTCTTTTCGACTCGGCCATCCCGTTTGGCATTAAACTCTAAGCTCGTTAATATGAAAGGTCGAAAGCATGGTTTTTGCTTGGGCCTTCCTGGAAACATAGACTTCGACATGATATCAAAAACCTTGTCGGCTTGAAATCAAACAGGCGTTTGCGCTAAATACTTCTTGAACAAAGGGTTCGACCGAAATCGAAACTCGTCGGTCCGAAATCGAGACGGCGACTTCGCTCGGGACTTCCCCATCAACTCAATTTCGACAGAGGTGGAGCATTCCCAGACCGGTGACCACACAGTCATATGCCTTCGCTATCCGAAACACTGAGACGCACCATGGCAATATTGTACTGGGGCCCTGCCGCCTAGAGGGAAGCATTGCGTCGTCGCTGAGAGAAAGAGAGAAAGAGAGAGAGAGAGAGAGAGAGAGAGAAAGAGACAGATAGAGAGAGAGAGAGAGAGCCGTGCACGTCAAAGGTGCATTGGCAAGATGGTGAAGCGGCCGCGATCATGCAGTTCCGGCGGCTCTGCGACGGAACAACCATCGACGAGTGTATTTTCGAGTGCGCGTGCGGATGTTCCCCGAACCGTGCTCGCACTGAAGGGTTCCCGCAGCTGGCCTCCCAATGACGCGGCCTCGTCTGCCGGGTTTGCAGCCCCACAGCGGGGGACTTCTCTCCGCCGGCGGCGAGGCAGAAGCGGTGCTCTCCAGCGTGCGGCTATTCGGGGCAATTGAAACGAGAATTGTCCAGCGTGCAAGTGGAAGGAAAAAAGACGAGGGCGGCCGCGCGGCGGGAGAGGGAGGGGAAAGCGCTCAGACGTGGGAGAGTTCCGCGCCGAGCGGGCCGGGGTGGCCGACCGAGGCAGCGGTGATCGTGGCAGCAGCCGGGGCCGAGGCGAGGGCGCACCCACGGGCGCTGCCAGGGCGCAGTGACGATGTCGAGCAAGCAGGCCAGTGACGCGGCCTCGTCCGGTGGGCTTGCAGGCGGTGCCCGCCTGGAGCCCCCGAGGGCCCCCAGCCCGCCGCAGGCCCCTGGCCCCGCACGGTCCCGACCCACAGGGCCCCGGCCCCCATAGGGTCCCGCCCCGTCGGGCCTCGGGCCCCGACCCCAGGGCTGCTGCACGAGCTGCTGTGGCAGCCACTCCCTGGGAACACCTCCGGCAGACGACTGGGGACTTCGGGCATCTCTGAAGGCGACGCGGCCTTCTCGGGCCAATCTCGGTCGGGCGCGGCCGAGGCGTCGGACCCAGACATCCGGCTGCTCGGTTCCTTCGAGGCATGGCCCCCTGGACCTCTCAAGCCCTTCCCTTCCCCGAAGAAACCGGCTCGGTCCTCCCAAGCTGCCCCACGTCTTGGAGGGAGGAGGAGGAGGGGGAGGAGGAGGAGGAGGAGGAGGAGGAGGAGGAGGAGGATGAGGAGGAGGAGGAGGAGGAGGAGGAGGAGGAGGAGGAGGCCGAGGACGCCGCAGGCCGCTGTCGAAGACCTCCACCAGCACCGTCGCCTCCGCGTGCCCCGCCACCTCCTTGCGCCAGGGTGGGGTGGGGCGTGGGCAGACCGTTTACGCCCGCTTCGCTCCCCCGCCCCCTGTCCTTCCCGTCTATCTCCTCCTCCTCCGCCCCCTCCTTCTTCTTCTTCTCCTCCTCCTCCTCCTCCATCTCCTCCTCCTCCTCCTTCTTCTTCTCCTCCTCCTCCTCCTCCTCCATCTCCATCTCCTCCTTCTCTTCCTCCGCCTCCTCCTCCTCCTCCTCCTGCTCCATCTCCTCCTGCTCCACCTTCTTCCCTCCTCCCCCTCCGACGAGGAATGTCACGAGTCGACGCCCGAGTTCTGAGAGTTGAGGCCAACAGGGAGCTCCACCTACGGTCTCAGTGGGCCCGACCACATGGGGGATCCCCACCCCTTTCGGCACACACTTCGCACGTTTGCCAGACTGTCCAAGGAGGGCCCAATGAGCCCCCAAGAAGCTCCGAGAGGCACCAAAACGCCCCCCAAGAGGCCTCCAAAAGCCCCCCGAGAGGCCTCAAGAGATGAGGAGGGACGACGAGGACGGCAAACATATGCCGACGGACGCAAAGAGAGACACCCCGACACGACGCGGAAGAGCGTGCCACATCGTACGGCTCCCCCAAGCCGCGGGACACGGGGCGTCACACGCTATGGCTGCCCGTGCGCTGCTCGATCAGTCGCCACCCAGAGTGCTGGGCATGCACGGTGGCAGGACTTGCCCGAACAGCTGGATATGCGTGGGGTGGAATTCTCGCCCGCGCGCGCCCACTGTCCGTAGGAGGGCACGATGGGTGTGTGTGTGGTCTCGGAATTGACGCGGGGTGGCATGCCCGCGCGCCCGCTGGGGCCGTCGGTGGGGCCCCCTCTGGGAGCACGAAGCGTGCGACTGGTGTGCCGACGCGGGGTGGGGCGGGATGCGCGAGCGCGCTCACTGAGGCCGCATATGGAATCTCCATTGGCTGGCTGGCACGAGGCACGTGAAGGGCGTGTCTCATTGTGCCAGTTCGTGGTCCATGCGGGAAGCGATCGGCCAGACGACGCGCGAGCCCCACAGAGTCCCAGCGCAGGCCCCACGGGACCCCAGCGCTAAGATGAAGTGCGGACATGAAGCATGACGGTTCCCGACAGGGACCCCACCCCTTTGCAGGTTTGGACGTGGTGCCACGAAGCGCTGTGGATGTGTGGATACGGTGCTGACAGGGCGGACTGGCATACGGCCGACTCTAGAAACCAAGGATCCAAGCACCTCTTTTCCGTCGGCGGCGAGGCAAAGGCGATCCGCACCAACTAATCGGGGGCACTGGTAGGCGAATGGCTTCCCTCTGGTTCCTTTCCTCCTGCTCCCTCCCTGCTGTCTCCGACTGGCCCCGCATCTGGCTGCCCGTCCGCCCCGCCGGCCCTGGCCTCCCGCCTGCGCGTTCGTCGCCCTCTGCCTGCTCGTCTCCTCCTCGTCCCCTTCCGCCAGGCAGCATACAGGGCAGCTTTTAATGCATAGGATTTTCAAAACACATAGGATTTTTAACACATGATTAATATATGGATAAATGTATGCATGAACTCATCGTCGTTTTTAATACTAAAACCCATTTTTCCATAATGATCCGCACGCAGAGCATGTATTCAAAACGGCACTGTAGCCTGCCCGGGACCAGCGTGGCGGCGCGTGGGGCTTCGGTTGGAGGGCCCGAGCGAGGCCATCATGGGTTCATCTTCTGCCTGCTGGGGACGAAGCTGGATCCAAACACATTGACGTCTCTCTTCTGCTTCCGCCACCTTGCGCCGGCCTTCCACTGGCGAGCCCGCCGCCGCTTTTACACGTCTGCCATCCTCCGCAGAAGGCAACATGCGCCACAGGCGAGGACTTTTTTTCTGGGGCAGGGGGGCGGGAGCATGAAGAAGTCGGGAGCGGGGACTCGGGGGGAGGTGGTGGAGGAAGACCAGGAAAGCGAAGGAGGAGGGCGAGGAATCGGGGTACGAGTAGGCGGGGTACGAGAAGGAGGAGGATGATGATGATGATGATGATGATGAGGAGGAGGGGGAGGAGGAGAAGGAGGAGGAGGATGAGGAGGAGGAGGAGGTGGAGGGAGGAGGAGGAGGAGGAGGAGGAGGAGGAGGAGGAGGAGGAGGAGGAGGAGGAGGAGGAGGAGGAGGAGGAGGAGGAGGGAGGAGCAAGGGTGAAGGCGAACAGGGGATCAGGAAGAAGATGTTGGGGAGAAAGCGCTGGGAGGAGCGGGATCCGCTGTGGCCGACGGGGCTTGGCCTTTTCACAGGCGCTGCCTCGCGGACAGACCGCCGGAGTCTCGCGGGCTGCGCTGCACCGCGTGCCGCGGGGCGCGGAGGAACGAGAGGTACGAGGAGGATCAATAGGAGGGGGGAGGAGGAGGGATGATGATGATGATGATGATGATGATGATGATGATGATGATGATGATGATGATGAGGAGGAGGAGGAGAGAGGAGGAGGAGGAGGAGGAGGAGGAGGAGGAGGAGGAGGAGGGGAGGGAGGGAGGGAGGGAGGGAGGGGGAGGGAGGGAGGGAGGGAGAGAGAGGGAGGAGGAGGAGGAGGTGAGGAGGAGGAGGGGGGAGGGGGAGGAGGAGGGAGGAGGACGAGGAGAAGGAGGAGGACGAGGAGAAGGAGGGTGAGGACGAGGAGGAGGAGGATGTGGTGGTGGAGGAGGAGGAGGAGGTGGAGGAGTAGGAGGAGGAGGGACGGAGGGAGGGAGGGAGAGGGAGGGAGGAGGAGGAGGTGAGGAGGAGGAGGAGGATGAGGAGGAGGAGGAGAAGGAGGAGGAGGAGGAGGAGGATATTCGTAGCCATTTTGGCTCAAGCCTTTGGCTCAACATAGCGGAGGGGCCTGCACGAAGCCGACCAGGATGCCAGGTTGCTGGCATGACGTGACAGCCTGGAAGTGCAGTCACTGTGGATGCGGGAAGACTACGATAGCAGAGGCCTGGTGCAAGCACTGCTACTGCCACTGGAAGACGTACAAACCCAATGATACCAAGTGCAAGGGCAAGGACGTTGAGTCTCGTCTCGGCCTGGGTGGTGGCGGTGGTGCATGTGGTGATGTGCGAGGCCCACCCCTTCCTGTCGGCCTCTAGCAAGCAGCAGCTGACCTCGTGCCAGAGCTGTCGGTTGGCGAGATCAAGCAACTCGTCGAGCCCAGCAAGAAGAGCAACAATACCAACCTTGTCGAGTGCTACCAGCAGGTGTTGTCGATCAAAGATAAACATTCCGTGCCGCCCCAGATCAGGGCAGACTGGCCTCGCAAGTGCATCGAGCAGCTCGAGGCGGACCCTGCCAAGGAATCGAGTGCGCTCGAGCAGCTGCAGGGCCAGGTCAGCACGCAGGAGCAGAAGGTCAAGGCTCTGCTGGGCCAGATCGAGAGTCACGAGTGCGTCTACAGGGATGCGATCAAGGAGCCGCACGCAGTGGTCGTACCGTCGCCGCAGCCCCACCAGCAGATCCCCACGCTCAGCCTGGGCGATTTGCTCGAGGGCAAGATGCAGGAGTGGAAGCTGTCTTGCGATGAGGACCTCTTCGGCCTGGCGGAAGCCGCGGAGTGGCGGAGTTGGGCCACGCGGAGGCGAAGAAGCGTGAGGAGCAGCTCAGGGAGCAGTTCCGGCCGCCGGCGCAGACGATGTTCGGCGACGTCAAGCAGAAGGAGGAGCAGTGCAGGAAGGAGCACGGAAGGAGCACCAGGAGCTCCAGGCTCGTCTGCAGGCCAAGCGGCGGCGCCAAGAGGGACCTGGCGGGCCAGTGGCGCAGGGCGCAGCGGGCGTGGACGGCCCGGGCGAGGCCCTGGCGCCGCAGCCGCCGAGCGCCCCAGGGGCAGGCGCTGCCGCGGCGGCCGCGGGCCCCGCCGCCAGTGCAGCGGCCCCAGCAGCGAGCTGAGCCGCGAGCAGAGGCACGGCCAAGTCGTCGGCGGAGCTCCGCGAGCACGCTCGCAGCCCGAGTGGCGACCGCCCCATCGTCATGGGCAGGGGGCCTGGCGCGGGCAGGGGAGGCGCCGAGGTGCCCGTCGACGGCTCACCGCAGTCTCTTTGGCCACAGCGGGGCCGAAGGCCCCAGCCAGAAGTGCCCCTGCACGCAGGTCGTGGACGGCAGTCGGCCAGCGCGTCAGGCTGGGCAGCAGCTCAGGCCTTGTTCACCGACGATCTTTCTCGGTGCAGCGAAGTTCTTTGTATCCGGGACTGCAGAACCCCCTAAGCCTAATGTTTCACAGGCTGAGAAGTCAGCGGCCGACGAGGGTTAGAAGCTACGTCTCAGTCCAGCGGTCAAGACGAACCTGGGGGAAGCCCCCCCAGGAGTTGGAGTGGCAGTGAAGCGGCGCATAGGCGTTAGTGAAATTGTTGGAGTAGTATCTTGTTACGTTATGCTCGGTCAATTGTTGTTTGGGTTAACGGTTGTGTACGAGGCGATGTCTACATGTGCTGTCTGTACTTTCCTGACGGAGAAAGGGGCCCAAGGAGCTACGGGTAAACGGATGCTTCATCAGCTTGGGGAGTTCTCTCCAGTTCCCAGAGGCCCTCTGTAATCGTTGCTGACTGGAATGATGCCCCCCTCGGAGGTTCATCAGATGCCTGTCTTAGGAAAGCTCAGGGCAGTGGTCAATTCGGGTAGGCCAGCCTGTCGTGCGGGGACAGGTTAGCACGACATGGCTACTTCGTTATGTCTCACGATCTCATCGGCGATGTGAAGGCATGCGCTAGGCTCGGGAATTCCAGCGACAAGACTCATTATCCAATTTCATTTTCGCTCGGCATGCTCGCGCGCCGACACGCGAAGAAGGTGTTGAAGATGCCGAAGCCCTTTCCACTAGACAAGCCTACAGGTCCATCGCCTCCGCCGCAGGACTGGGCCCCCTCTGAAATGAAGTTTCAATGGCTGCGTCGCCAGCCAACTGAGGTCTCTCGGCGCCCTGCGGGGAGATTTGCGACGCCGTGGAGCGGGGACTCTGCGACGTGCTAGGCATCAAGTCCTCTGATCAATCCAAACGCTGTTGGAAAAAAAACTAAATATCAGGTGGTCGGAAAGCCGGTTTTGGAGCATCATGATTCAGGCCCCTTTCCGCAGTGCAGCGTTGAATCCTGGGCGCTCAGGGGGTGCCAGGTCTGGCTGGATGAGCTGTCGTACCTTCATGGGGAAGAGCAGCCCCGGATGTCTTCTGGGGTTCAAGACCCGGTTTGGAAGCTCACGGCGCCCATCGAGGCCTTTGAAAGTATCCCTGGATGGATTGTGTTCAACGGAGGTCTCCGTCTGCGCGCCGACGTCTCCCACGAGGAGCTGCAGGGTGCGCCGGCGGCCTTTCGGGTCATTGTTGATGCTGAAGACCTAACCTCGCGGGCCCAGAGGATCAAGCAATGGCGGCAGTGGATTTCGCAAAGTCTTAAGCAAGGGGGGGAGGAGTTTTTCGGTAGACTAAGAAGCCTCAAGGTTGGGCTCCTGGTGGGGCTGTATGGATGGCGCTCCTGCTGGACCGTGGACACCGAGGAGCGAGAGGTAGGAGGAGGATCAAGAGAAGCGGTGAGTAGGATCAAGAGGAGGGGGGAGGAGGAAGGAGGAGGATGACGAGGAGGAGAAGGAGGAGAAGGAGGAGGAGGAGGAGGAGGAGGAGGAGGAGGAGGAGGAGGAGAGGAGGAGGAGGAGGAGGCGGAGCGGAGGCGGAGGCGGAGGCGCAGGCGGAGGAGGAGGAGGAGGACGAGGAGGAGAAGGAGGAGGAGGAGGAGGAGGAGGAGGAGGAGGAGGAGGAGGAGGAGGGAGGAGGGAGGAGGGAGGAGGGAGGAGCGAGGAGGGAGGAGGAGGAAGGAGGAGGAAGGAGGAAGGAGGAAGGACGAAGGAGGAGGAGGAGGAGGAGGAAGGAGGAGGAGGAGGAGGAGGAGGAGGAGAGAGGAGGAGGGAGGGAGGGAGGGAGGAGGGAGGGAGGGAGGGAGGGAGGAGGAGGAGGAGGAGGAGGAGGAGGAGGAGGATGAGACGGAGGAGGAGGAGGAGGAGGAGGAGGAGGAGGAGGAGGAGGAGGAGGAGGAGAAGGAGGAGGAGGAGGAGGTGGTTGAGTAGGAGGAGGAGGAGCGGCGGATGTAAGGGGAGGAGTACGGAGAAGGAGGATGAGGATGAGGATGATGATGATGATGATGAGGAGGAGGAGGAGGAGGAGAAGAAGAAGCAGGAGGAGGAGGAGAAGGAGGAGGAGGACGAGGAGGAAGAGAAGGAGAAGGATGAGGAAGCTGAGGAGGAGGACCCCGTATTGGAATAACCCGAGCGTCGGATGCAAGGGGCCTTTTGTCAGCTCGACGGCTGCTCCGATCGGGGGGGAGGGGATGGCTTCGGAACCTCGAGGGGGTGCGGGTGCCCGTGGCCTCGGGGGGGTGCGGGTGCCCGTGGCCTCGGGGCCAGATGCAGCTTGAACAACCTGGCCATGATAAGGGAGGCGGGTTTGAGCGGCTTTTCGGTCGGGGGTGGGAGAGGCGGGTGTTGCCGAGGGAGGGGGGAGGAGGGATGGAGGAGGGGGGAGGGACCAGAGGGGGGATGGGGATGGGTCGGGATGAGGAGGGGGGGTATACGGTGAAGGGGGGAAAGGGGGCCAGGGGGGGGGGAAGGGGAGGGGGAGGTGAAGGGGAGGGGGGGGGGAGGGACAGGAGGGCGGCAGAGAGGGGGGAGGAAAGGGGGAGGAGGGAGGAACGAGGGGGGGGGAACGCGAGATGGGGGGGCAAGCTAGGTGCGGTCGCGGCATCCCTTCCCACCCATCCCTTCCCACCCATCCCTTCCCTTCCCATTGCGCTGATTTCTTCGGCATCCGCCGATGGGTGTCATAGCAGACCTGGAGCCCTTCACAGGACCCCAATCGTGTTATGCGCAACATTAAAACTGAATCAGTGTACATCGGCGTGTGCGAGGGGCTTGGCTGCTCGAGTCGTCGTCTCCGTCGGTCGTCGCCTCCTCCGTCCCCTTTCCCTGCAGCTTCCTTCTCAAGCTCGTGAGCGAGAGAAAAATCTAGCAGAGTCGTATTGAGTCGAAGGGAAGCCCCTTCCCTTTGATCCCTTCCGGGGGGGGGGGTCCTGGAGGTGGGTGGGTGGGGGGTCCCGGGGGGGGTGGGGGGGCAGATTCGTTTTTCCTCGGGCGGCCTAGAAACCTCGAAAACACTCCAAATGAGGTCCGAATGCCCAAGATGACCCCCGAGACGGCCCAAGAGGGCCCCGAGTCGCCCACAGCTCGGCCGAAAACGCCCAAGATAGCCCCAAGACCGTCCAAGAAGCCTCCAAGACGTCCCAGGCCCCCTCCAAGAGACCCCCAGGAAGCCCCAAGAGGCCCCCACGAGGCTTCCAAGCGGCCCCTAAGAGCTTCCCAAGAGGCCCACAAACTACCCCCAAGAGGCCCCCAAGAGCGCTCGTCGTCGTCGTCGTCGTCGTCGTCGTCGTCATCGTCGTCGTCGTCGTCGCCATTCAGGGTCGGCGGCACCGGCCGTAAGGCCTTCGCAATCAGTGTACATTTGGGGAGAAGGTGGCGGATTAGCTGGAGGACGAGGAGGAGGAGGAGGACAAGGAGGGAGGAGAACGAGGAGGAACGGCAGCAGCATGAGCGGAAGGAGCGGGAGGAGCGGGAGGACCAAAGGAAGGCGGGGGAGGGGAAAATGGCGACAACGACGAGGAAGCACTCGGATGCAGAAGTGTGGCCCCATGCTGGGGCGAGGGCGCCGTTCTGAACGACGGGAGCGAAGCGCCGACCTTGAAATGAGGCAAATGCTGCAGCGAGAGCACCGACAGCGTTCCGACCGGACAGGCCTTCGGACAGGCCAAATGCGCGGAGGGGGCGGGCTACTCCCCGGGCGTCTTCGAGGGAGAGGGGAGAGCATCGGGTTGACCCCAAAGCGGGTCCAGCGACAAGGGGGTGGTGCAATAGATTTGATGCAATACATTTGTGGGGTTGCAATAGATTTGGGGCGTGCGAGACATTCCTGGGCGCAAATGTATTGCTGGGTTTTCGCGTGCAATACATGAACTGCAATACAATGCAGTACAACTCTCTGGCGCAGTGCATTTGCATTGCACTTGCCCCACATCTATTGTACCACCCCCTTTCAGCTGGACCCCCTTTTGTGTCAAAAGGGAGAGGAGCATTCACATCAAGAAAGTGTGTGGGACGAGGAAGGGCCAAAGGCGGGGCCCTCCGGGCGCGGGCCCTGTGGGCCGGGGGCCCTCTGGGCCACGGCCACGGCGATGCATCGCCGACGTCGCCAGTGCATCGCCGATGCATCGGCGATACATCGGCGATGCATCGGCGATGCGGTGCGATCCTCCGACCTCATCTGCTCGGACCCCATCTGGTCGGGGGCGGCCATGAGGTGCAAGAGGGGGGTGTCCAAGAGGGGGGGGTGCAAGTCATGGCCAGCGGCATGTGCGCGGCCCAAGGGGGGGGGGGGGGGGCAGGGACGCAATGAAATCAGAAGAGGCGCCATGAAATCTGAGGACAAATCGTAGCCCACGCCATGAAATCCCTCCCCCCCTCGTCGTCGCCCCCCTCTTTGCCGCCCCCGATCTGGGAGGCCCAGCAAGCGTGCGGGACGAGGAGGGGCCCGGGCGGGGCCCTCCCGGCGTGGGCCCCGTGGGCCCCGTGGGCCTTCGGGGCCAAATCCCGACACGCCCGCGGACGAGGAGGCCGCGTGGGCGGGGCCCCGTGGCCGACGGCCGGGCCTCCGCAGAGGCGGGGCGCCGTGGGCGGGGGCCCTGCGGGCAGGGCCCCAGGCCTCAGACCTCCGAGGGGAGGCGGAGGCGGAGGCGGAGGCGGAGGCGGAGGCGGAGGCGGAGGAGGAGGAGGAGGAGGAGGAGGAGGAGGAGGAGGAGGAGGTGAGGAGGAGGAGGTGAGGAGGAGGAGGAGGAGGAGGAGGAGGAGGAGGAGGAGGAGGAGGCGATACGTTTTTTTCCAATCTGGGCCCTCGACGATCCCCCCCCTTCGCGTGGCCTCGGGGGCATTATTTTGGCCCTCGGGGACTGCGGGCCCCGTGGCCGTCAAAAAAACGGATCTGGGGCGACACGCTGTGCCCGTGGGGAGGCGGTCGGCACCTCTGGGGTCGCGGCTTGGACAAAAACACCATGTCGGCGGATGTCTGGGGGGTGACGGCTGGACCCGCGCGAGCACACCTAGTTCTTGGCGGCGGCGTGCCTGGGGGGGGGGGGGAAGGCAGACAGAGCGGGCCTTCTCAGAAGGCTCAGAAGGCCTCTGGCCTTTTGAGAAGCTTCCTGAGCCGTTCCCGAGGCCGCAGAGGGCTTATGAGAATGCCGGGCGGCTTCTGGGAAGCCCCGCCGCCTTCTGAGGAGGCCTGCCCCCTCTCACTGCCCCCGATCGGCACGCCGCCGCTCTTGGCCCCTCGGCTGATGCCCCGTCTGGGGAATGCGAGGAGCAAGAGCGGGAGGAGAGACCTGCCCTGGCACTTGGGCCAAGAAGCCTCCGGCCCGACGGGCTCGCGGCGCCTCAGGGAGAGGCCGGCGCCCTCTGGGCAGGCCGCTAGTTCTCCTCCTCGTCCTCGGGCTTCCGCCCGCGCTCCCCGCGCCTGCGGGCGGCGAGCGGAGGGGCAGGGCTGGAGGGGCCGCCTCCTCCCAGATCGCGGGTCCCAGATCTCCGATGACCCGATTTTCTTGGGTCCGGGCGTTACGGTCGGGCCTAGCTTCAAGACCGTGGGGCCCTCCGCCGGCCGAAACACCCCAGACCACAAGAGCAATCGAGGGTGCCTCCTCCCCCAGGGATGCACAAGAGCAGCCAACAGACACGAAAAACATCAGGGCACCCTCCCCAAACCGACCTCGATCTCGTGCCTCGGTCCAACTGTGCTGCTCCGTGTCGGCCTCTGGGGCCCGCTCGCGGGCCCTGAGGCCGTCAGATTGGGCCCGAGACGCAAGGCTACCCCAGGGGATGGGGTCGGGAGCCCTGGGGCTGCGCGTTGAACAAACATTTTACAGTCGGATGCCTGTGAGCGAAGATGGGCTTTCGGCGGGGAGCGGTTGATGCTCTCTTCTGCTGGCTTGCTGGAAAGGGGTCCCCGTGGCCGTGGCCGCGGGGCCCCATGGAGGGTTCCGGGGATGACGAGGGCGGCGGCGACGACGACGACGACGACGACGACGACGACGACGACGAGGGCGCTTCTGGGCCAGCCGCCTCCGAGTAGCCCTCATGCCCTCCGAGAGGCCTCCCTGGAAGCTTCCGAAGGATAGAGGCGTCCCAGATGGGGTCCGAGTGGGGGGGGAGGACCGTGCCACATCTCCAGTGCATCGCCGACGTATCGGCGACGTCGGCGATGCATCGGAGTCACGGGCGTGGAGAACTTCTGGTTCCGCCTCGAGCCGCATCGTCGATACATCGGCGATCCTCCGACCCCATCTGCTCCGACCTCATCTGGGAGGCTCGGAGAGGATGGTTTGGGGGACTTCTACGACAAAAACATGTTTTACCTGGAAAACAGCAGTGCAAGAGGAGGGGGGGATGTTCCCCTCCTCCTCCTCCTCCTCCTCCTCCTCCTGCAAGAAAAATATGTTTTACCTGCAAATATGTTCCCCTCCTCCTCCTCCTCCTCCTCCTCCTCCTCCTCCTCCTCCTCCTCTAACCTGGGCCAGAAATCACACGCTCCCTGTCCTCTCCCGGTGCTCCGCGCGGAGCAGCAGGGGAGGAGGCGGCAGCAGCCGCCCACACGCCACGAGTGGCCCCGGGCAACGAGCGGCCCTCGGTGCGTGGCGGGGCCGCGGGGGTGTCAGCTGGAGCCCCGCTGGGCCCGCACCAGAGTCACTCCAGCGACGGGCCACTCTGACCCGGAGATCCGACGTTGCAGAAAACAGCAGTAGCACTAATCACGGCCGGCGCCCGCTCCATCTTTCTGCGCCATGTCTCGAGCCCCGATGGAGCTGCGGGGGTTCCTGGGCGCGAAGCCTGACGAAAACGCTGGGTGCAGAACGTGCGACGCCAGGATCTCAAGGGGCCTGCAGCCGAGGCAGGAAGAGGTCGCAGCCAGTCAGTCGCCCCGCTCGTCGACGTTCCAAGGGGGGGCCCCTGGCCTCTCCGGGGCCGTCCCCCCCCCCCCTCCCCTCCCGCCCCCCTGCCCTGCCCCCCTCTTCCCTGACGCACCAGCCGCGGAACCTGGACCCCGCGATCCCTGGACCCCTCACTCCCTGGACCCCTCGACCCCTCGATCTCTCGACCCCTCGATTCCTGGACCCCTGGAACCCTCGATCTCTGGATCCCTCGACCCCTCGCTCCTTCGACCCCTCGATCCCTGGACCCCTCGATCCTTCGAGACGCGGGCACCCGGACCCCTCGACCCCTTCCCTCGGGGCGGGCTTCTCGTCGGGACTCCGAGCCGTGTCTTGATGGCCCCGGGGCCCGAGACTGGCCCCAACCAGAATTCGCCGGCCCAACGGGCCAGAGGCGTGCTAAGATCTCCGGTAACTGGTTAACAATTCTCTAATTCGCGCGCGCGGGGCGGCCCCTGGGGGTCCCCGGACGAAAAGTACCCCGGGCGAGTCCCGGCTGATCCCCGGGCGACTCCACCAGAGCGCTCCATGAGCGCACCAACAAGGCTCCGAGACGTCCCCGAGAGCCCCAAGCAAGGCCAAGAGGCCCCCAAGAGGCCCCCAAGATGGTACACGAGGGGTCCGACATGCCACAAGATCGCTCCAAGACGCCCAAGATAGCCCCCAGACGCTCCAAGAGGCCTCCAAGAGCACTCCCAAGAGGGCCCCACGAGGCAAAATTCATTGCTTTTTACCTAACAGCGAAGACTGATAGGTTTCTAGTGGCGTCAAAAAAAACAGCAGATGACTCCACAGGGGGGTCGGGGCGGGACCCGGGGCGGCTGCCGCCGAAGCCCAAATCGCCTGGAACATCCTCGCGAAATCGCTCTTGGCGCTGCTAGAACTCCATTCCCGGCGTGCATTTTGGATGCCCGGAGCCAACTGTAAGCCACTTCGTGGTCTTCGAGTTCCCAGAACTCCATTCCCGGCGTACATTTTGGATGCCCGGAGCCAGCTGTAGGCCACTTCGTGGTCTTCGAGTTCCCAGAACTCCATTCCCGGGCCACATTTTGGGTGACCGGAGCCAACTGTAGGCCACTTCGTGGTCTTCGAGTTTCCAAAACTCCACTCCCAGGCCACATTTTGGGTGACCGGAGCCAACTGTAGGCCACTTCGTGGTCTTCGAGTTCCCAGAACTCCACTCCCGGGCCACATTTTGGATGTCCGGAGCCAACTGTAGGCCACTTCGTGTTCTTCGTGTTCCGAGAACATTTTTCCCAGGCTACATTCTGATTACCCGGAGCCAATTGTGAGGCTGAGGCTGAGGCAGGCTGAGGCTGAGGCAGGCTGAGACTGAGCCTGAGGCAGGCTGAGGCTGAGGCTGAGGCTGATGCGGGCTGAGGCTGACAGGCTGACGCTGAGGCCGAGGCAGGCTGAGGCTCAGGCTGAGGCCGAGGCAGGCTGAGGCTGAGGCGGAGGCAAGCCGAGGCAGGCTGAGGCTGAGGCTGAGGCTGAAGCTGAGGCAGGCTGAGGCTGAGGCTGAGGCTGGGGCTGGGGCTGTGGCTGCGGCTGAGGCAAGCTGCGGCTGAGGCAGGCTGAGGCTGAGGCTGATGCAGGCTGAGGCTGAGGCAGGCTGAGGCTGAGGCTCAGGCAGGCTGAGGCTGAGGCTGAGGCCGAGACAGGCTGAGGCGGAGGCCGAGGCAAGCCCAGGCAGGCTGAGGCTGAGGCTGAAGCTGAGGCAGGCTGAGGCTGAGGCTGAGGCTGTGGCTGAGGCTGAGGCAAGTTGCGGCTGAGGCTGAGGCTGAGGCCGAGGCAGGCTGAGGCTGAGGCTGAGGCAGGCTGAGGCTGAGGCTGAGGCTGAGGCCGAGGCAAGCCGAGGCTGAAGCTGAGGCAGGCTGAGGCTGAGGCTGAGGCTGTGGCTGAGGCTGAGGCAGGCTGCGGCTGAGGCAGGCTGAGGCTGAGGCTGATGCAGGCTGAGGCTGAGGCAGGCTGAGGCTGAGGCTGAGGCAGGCTGAGGCTGAGGCTGAGGCCGAGGCAGGCTGAGGCTGAGGCCGAGGCAAGCCGAGGCAGACTGAGGCTGCGACTGCGAGAACAGCAGAATTCTACAAGTGGATTTTCACCTACATCTTAAGGGGAATGCTTCCATATATGCTTCTACACATCGCTGTTAGGTTGCTTTGCCGGGATAATCCTTAGGTTTTTGAGACATTTTGGAGATTCCACCTTCTCGGCTTCCCGACGCCCCAAGACGGCCCAAGAGGCCCCCAAGATCGCCCCAAGAGGGCCCAAGATGCCCCCAAGAGGCCCCAAGATGGCCCAAGAGGGCTCGAAGACGGCCCAAGAAGCCTCCAAGACGGTCCAAGAACGCCCCAAGAACGCCCCCAAAGGGGCCCCAGAGAGGGAACACGAAACAACATTTCGAGCCCTCGGCCCTAAGAGGCCCCCACGAGGCCCCAAGAGGCCCCTAAGAAGCCCCAAGAGGCCCCCACGAGGCCCTCAGGAGGCCCCCAAGAGTCCCCCAAGCGGCCCCAGGAGGCCCCCCAAATGCCCCCCCGAGCACGCAAGCAACTGCAAGCGATGCTACAATGTGGTCTCCTTTCGGTAGACTCCCAACGGGGCCCCTACAGACTTGCAACAAGCGTCAAGAACCTGCCCAAAAAGCACTGTCCAGGAGCGTTCACAAGTGCCGCGAAGAAGCCCTCCTTACGCCGGAAAGCCCGGAACGCCGGGTGGGGTGAGCTGTTCTTCTCACCACCGCGCCCTCTCACACAATGGCTTCCGCACGCCGCCCAGAGCGCGATGCCTCCCAGACTGTATGGGCTGGCGGAATGAGCGAAGCGATTAAATAACGGCAGGCGGAGGACGAATAGTCAGCTTTCGGCGGGCCGCGCGGATCATGGCTCGGCGCTGGGACCAAGTGATCCTGCGCGGGCCTCCGAAGGTTTGTGTGTGTGTGTGAGAGAGAGAGAGAGAGGTGTGTGTGTGTGTGTGTGTGTGTGTGTGTGTGAGGTGTGTGTGTGTGTGTGTGTATGCCGCCCTGCGTTCGTTTCCAGTCGAGTCCTGCCTCAGGAGGGCCCCCAGACGGTGGAACACACACGGTCGCCCTTGGCACGAGGCAGGCGGGCCCCGAGGAGCACGGGTCCCGGACCCCAGGGCCCTGCCCCAGGACCAGCTCTTCATCCCGAGTTGTTTTTTGGCGGTCCTGGGGCCCAGGAGAAAACCTCAGGACCCATTTCCCTCCGAACTCCTCCTCCTCCTCCTCCTCCGCCTCCTCCTCCTCCTCCTCCTCCTCCTCCTCCTCCCCGCTTGCTTCATGGCGGCGTCTCGGCTCTCTCCTGCCGACCCGCGCGCGTGTGCGGGCGAGCCTGTCCCGCTCGCGGCGGTCTCGGCTCTTGCTGCGCCGCCGGTCCCGGCCCCTGTCCTGGAGGTCATCCAAGCGGGGCCTCAGCACCGCACCGCATCGCCGATGCACTTGCGATGCGTATTGGCGGAGACAATCCTAGACGAGTTCGCGTCGTAAGCAACAAGAAAACACGACGAAGGGTTTTTGGCTGTCTTCTGGCCGTGTGGGCCCTCGCCGGGCCCCAGGACGGTCAGAAGACGACTCCCGATGAAACTCGGGCCCTGGGGAAAGGGCTGGTACTTCCGGGGGCCCCGTGCAAAAAAAAGTCAGAACATCGCATGTCCGGGAATCGGGCCCCAAGTCACGCCGCATCGCCGATGCACCGACGATGCGGCGCGATCCTGCTGCAGTGGGAAGCCTCTAAGCGTCTCCAGGGGGCTGCATGGGGCCCCCCGAGGCCCGAGAAGGGCGACAAACGTCGAGACACCTCAACCCTCGCTCGTGTAGCCCATGGAAAGACCCCTACACGTCGGTCGGAAGAAGTGGGTCGACACATGAAGTAATTAGGAAAGCGTTGGAAGTAGGCTGGGCTTTCGCCCGCCCCCTGAAGAGGAGGAACGAGGGAAGACCACTCGACTCTTGAAGCAAGAGGGCGGCTAAAATAGACTGGGATCTGGGCATCGCGAAATACCCGCTTTCCCCGCGCAGCAGTCCGACTTTGTGAACTTTTCACCACGTGGCCCCAGTGAGGACCTCCGGAGGTCGAAGATTGCCAAAAGCCACCAGTCGCGATTCCTTCGCGTCGAGACCATCCGCCGGGATGAACTTGTCCATCCGCGGCCCCAGAAATCTCGACCGTTTCGTCGGGGCACGTTTCGCCCCCAGATCCATTTTGGGTGGTCCTGGCCCTTGAATACGGTCGCCGTAAACAGCCGCCGGCATCACATCGCCTGAGATCTGGCGAGAAAACCATCCGTCGCGATTTCTCCAGTAGGACACCCTGCGATCCGACATTGCGAAGCAATTTCTTGCATTTCCGCAGGAAATCACGACCCGAGCCCAATGGTGTAACATGTCTGCAACATCTTTGAACCCAAATCGATCTGTGATGGTCCTGGGGCCCAAAACCGATCGGAAACACTCGATGAGAAACAAGAATGCAACGCCCAGTCCTCATGGGAAGCAGGGCTTGGAGACGGTCGGGGGGTCTGAGCTGGATGAGCCCAAAGAGTAGCTGTCAAAAGGTGGAGGGGCAACGAACCCGCTCAGAATCGATCCCAGGACTCTCCCGGGGCCTCTCTGGTGCAATTTTTCACCCCTGATCCGTTTTTGACAATGCCAGGGCCCGAAAACGGTCCGGGGGGCCGACAAAGGCATCTCGAACCCCAGCACCTCGAACCTCGCTCCCCGCTCCTGCTGGCTGGAACCTGTGCTGGGCCACCTCGGACCCACAGCCGACTCCCAAGTGGGGCGACCCGCTCTGCCCGCTCCTTTGCTGCCGACTCTCAAGGGTGTTGCCATCAGAGGGTGTGGCTTGCAGCGCGCATCCTGGGGGGCTGGCGAGGACCTCGACAAAGCTCTCCGTCGCGTCCCGAGGAGGCCCGACGAGGGCAGCGTGGTGCCTCCCAAGCCCCAATGACGCCAATCGTTTTTTTGTTGACGTGCGGACGCGAGCACGCGCGCAGCCGCGGCGCTCGACCCCACCCAAAGGCTCAGTTTGGGACCTGTGGGAGCTGCGCAATGCGTTGCGCAGCCAAACATGCAAACGCCTCCGCGCTGTCACCCAATGATGCAAATCGCACGCCACACCCCAGCGTAACCACACCCCCTGTAGTCTCCGGCTTTGGGCGGCCCGGAGGTCCCGGCCCGCGTCGCGCTCGGCCTGGCGGTCCCTGTCCCGGCTCCTGCTGCGGCGCCTCTCGCGGTCGGCGCCGCGCTCCTCCTCCCGCCTGCTCGGGAGAGCCTAAGAGGAGCAGCCTCCCCGATCTTTAAAGCGCTCCTTCCCCATCCTCCTCCTACTCCTCCTCCTCCTCCTCCTGTAGCCTCTCCTCCTCCTCCTCCTGCTCCTCCTCCTGCTCCTCCTCCGCCTCTTCCTCCAATGGCGGGGAGGATGGGGCCAATCGGGGAAGGGGAGGAGGAGGAGGAGGAGGAGGAGGAGGACCAGCAGCAGCAAGCGGAAGAGGAGGATGATATAGAAGGATAGTGAGGATTAAACCAAGGGGGAGGATGAGGATGAGGGGAGGGTGGAGGCGCTCCCTTGGCTCTGTTTGAAGACGATGGTCGACGTCGTCGTCGTCGCTGGCGTCGTCGCCGTCGAATCATAATCAAAGGAATAATAGTAATAATATCAACAATAATGCTACTATTGAAAGGAACTAAACTGATGAGGAACAATACTGGTGCTACTGATCGTACTAAGCATGCGACTAACATTACTATGAATCAAGTGAGAATGACTAGTACGAACACTCATATTAATACAAATAATTATACAAGCCAACGCTATACTATTCAGAGCAATACTATTGCTAATGCTACTGCTAATTCTACTATTACTACGACTACTACCATTAATACTCATATGACTAATAGTATTGCTACTGTTACGAATATAAACAAATGATTCATATCACTATTAATAATCTCAACAACGGCACACATAACACAAATACTACCAACAACACTACTGATCTTACTACTAATACGAATGCTGGCACTAAGATCGGCAATCGTAATAAACAACACTAATAATAGTGTTACGACTAATAGTAATCACAATGACAATAACACTACTACTAACGGTAACAACAATGATTCTTCTACCAATACTAATACTATTACTACTAAGTATACACAGTACGGATAATGATGATACTTGTAATACATATATTACCAATGTAAGTAATACCACCCGAAGACTCATCCTAATACCACTACTACTAATAACAATAAGAACACTACTAAGACGAATAATGACACAAATACTACGTGAAATAACAATCGCATAACTAATACTAATAGCGCGACGAAACATAAGAAGGATACGAATGATAAGAACATACAACTTTCTGCTATTTTTGGCCTTCCCTCTGGGCTCCCAAACGCCTCCAAAGGCCGTCCTGGCCTCCGGATGACCTCCTAGGACCTCCCTGGACTTCCGGGGGCCTCCTGGGAAATCCCGAGACAGGGACCTCTAGGGGCCTCCCGGGACCTCCAGGGACCTTCGGGGACCACCTGGGACCTCCTGCACATCTGCTGGGACCTCCTGAAGCCTCCAGGCCGCCTGAGACTACCTGGGGCCTCCTGGGACACCAAGATCCCCCAGGCAGACCTCGCGAGGCCTCCTAGGACCTCTGGAGGCCTCCCGAGATCTGCTTGTGCTCTGTCGACCCGCATGCGCGCCGCGGCGCTGGCGACGGCGACGCCGTCGCCGCTCGATGCCGTGGGCGCCCAGCACGCCGCAGCCACTCGGCGCCGCTCCGCGGGGAACGGGCTGCCGCGCAAAGGCGTCGGGGGCGTCGGAGCCCGAGCCGACGCAGGCCACCGTTCAGGATCAGCAACACCCGTGCCCCCGAGGGCGGCGCCGCCGGCGCCGCGGGAGAGCACGCCGGGGCGCCGACGGCTGGCGCCAGAGGCGGACGAGCCCGCGGCGCCGCCGTCGCGGCCAGAGGCGGGCGAGGACGGGGCGGGGGCCGCCGGCGCCATCGGCCGGCGAGCCCGCTCGGAACGGCACCTGCAGCAGCAGCGCCGCGCAACAAGACGCCACACCGCGGCGCAGTCGGCACACGCCGTGGGCGGCGCCGCCGAGGGTCGCTGCCCAAGAAGTCGGAGCGGCTCGAGAGGGATCGGGGAGGTCTGCGCCTCCTCGTTCCTCGAGGGGCCGCCCGCGTTTCTCGTGTCCGCCGTCGGGGCCGCCCGTGCCGCAGTGCACGCTTCCTCTGGGATTCCCGCTCCCGCCAATAGCCCAGGCCTCCGGCGAGCCCGGCGTTCTTCCACGCTCTCGGCCTCTGGGGCCCGTCATCGGGCCCCAGGGCCATTAAACATGGATCCGGGACGAAAAACGACCCCCGAGGGAGGGGCTGGGACCTCTGGGGCCGCGCATTGAACAACTCGCCTCGTCGGATGTCCGGTAAGGGAGTGGCTGCCCGCTTTGCTGTCATCGCCAGCGCTGAGAGCACCACTATCGTCCAGAAGTGCACAAGTGGTGCCTTCCACCGCCAGCTCCTCGGCCTCCGTCCTCGGCTGCGGGAGGCACGGGACAGTAGAGCGTCGCGGAGGCAGCGTTGGCTTTCGCCCGCTCGCGTCACCGGCGAAGTCGCGGAGCGTTGCCCCCGCACGTGCCGTCCACGACGGTGCACGAGTCGGGTCCCGCAGAGGGGCCGTGGACAGGACCGGCGGGGTGGCACCGCCTGCAGCCCTCGCGTCTCTGCTCGTGCATGCCCCCTCGGCTCGGCCGCGCCCGTGGTCATCGCGGCGGCCTCCATCCAGGAAGCTCGGGCAGCCTGCCTGCGCCAGTGCGCGGGCGCCGCGGATCAACTTCCGAGCCCGGGGCCAACTGTTGGTGACCGTGCCGAGCCGTGGGCTCCTGCAAGTGGTGGAGGCGGCAGCGGCCCGCGCAGGCACCTCGGGGACGGAAGTGGCACGCGGCAGCTCCCTCGACCCCCGCGGCCCGAGCGCTCCTCCGCCGCCCTTCGCTGCTCCGCGCCCAAGGGCCGGCACCGCGGTCGGCTCGTGGCTGCCCTGCATCCTCGCAGCCTCCCTCACCTCCCCGTCGCCACCGACGCGAGCCGCCTCGGGAGCGAGCGCACCCATGGCTCCTCTTGCTCAGGCGCATCGACTTCCCGCTCCACGACCCAGAAGCACAACAGACACGCTCGAGAACGACAAAGGCAGACCGTCTTACTCCAAGGACCAGCTGAATATCCGAACACTTCAACTATAGACTCTGTGTTGCGACTTCTGATCTCGACTGTGTTGCACTGCCGGTCTCGTTGGACTTCGGATTTGTGCTCAAGGGAAGGCTTCGCTCCCCCGGCGAGGCGGCACCGCGGTCGAGCCGCCTGCGCCGGGACGGGCGACGTCGGGGCGCCCCGCGCCAGCGGGCGCGGAGGACGGCCACGCGCCCGCGGGGAGCACCCGCAGCGCACGGGCGTGCCCCGCGCTGGACGCGCGGCGGCGGCCCCCTCCCCCGGCAGAGGTCGGCGGCGGCCGCAGGGCTCGAGCGCGCCGATCGGGCCAGGGGCCCGCCCAGGGTGTCGGCGGCGGAGCGAAGGGGGGGAAGCGAGAAGGGGCGGGCCTTCTCGGAAGGCTCGGAAGGCCCCCGGCCTTCGGAGAAACTTTCTGAGCCTTCCCGGCAGGCGCAGCAAGAGGCTTCTCAGAAGGCCGGAGGGCTTCTGAGAAGTCCCGCCGCCCTCTGAGAAGGCCGCCGAGGTGGCCTCCACCGCAACCTCGGCAAGAGCCGACCAGCATCGCCTGCTCCAAGCTCGCCCCCCAGGTAGCCTCACTCCCAGACATCGGGCGACTCTGTTTTTCCCACCCATCCTGTGGTGTTGGGTCCTCGTTTTGAAGAGACGGTCCCCGCGTTCCTCCTTCCCGCCCTCCTCCCCCTCCTCCCTCCTCTCACCACCTCACATTTTGGCCCACCCCTCACACGGCTCGTGGCCCCATAGGGAGCTCCACCGAAGGACCCAGTGGTAAAGTTCGCATGCGGTTCCAACCCCACTTCGGCACACCCCTCACACGTTTCGTGACCCCATAGGGAGCTCCACGGAAGGCCCCAGTGGCAAAGTTCGCATGCAATTCCACCCCCACTTCGGCGCACCCCTCACACGGTTCGTGGCCCCATATGGAGCTCCACCGAAGGCCCCAGTGGCAAAGTTCGCATGCATGTCCACCCCCATTTCGGCGCACCCCTCACACGGCTCGTGGCCCCATAGGGAGCTCCACCGAAGGCCCCAGCGGCAAAGTTCGCATGCAGTTTCACCACATTTCGGCGCACCCCTCACACGGTTCGTAGCCCATATGGAGCTCTACTGCAGGCCTCAGTGGCAAAATTCGAATGCAGTTACTCCCAATTTCGGCGCACACCTCACACGGTTCGTGGCCCCATAAGGAGCTCCACCGAGGGCCCCAGTGGCAAGGTTCGCATGCAGTTCCACCCCCGTTTCGGCGCACCTCTCGCACGATTGGTGGCCCCATGGGGAGCTCCACCGAAGGCCCCAGTGGCAAAGTTCGCATTCAGTTCCACCTCCATTTCGGCGCACCCCTCACACGGTTCGTGGCCCCATAGGGAGCTCTGCTGCAGGCCTCAATGGCGAAGTTCGCATGCAGTTCCACACCGATTCCGGCGCACCGCTCACACAGTTCGTGGCCCCATAGGGAGCTCCACCGAGGGCCCCAATGGCAAAGTTCACACGCAGTTCCACCCCCATTTCATTTCGGCGCACCCCTCACACGGTTCGTGGCCCTATAGGGAGATCCACCGAAGGCCCCAGTGGCAAAAATTGCATGCAGTTCCACCCGATTTCGGCGCACCCCTCACACGGTTCGTGGCCCCATAGGGAGCTCTGCTGCAGGCCCCAGCGGCAAAGTTCGCATGCAGTTCCACCCCCATTTCGGCGCACCCCTCACACGGTCGTGGCCACATAGGGAGTTCCACCGAGGGCCCGAGTGGCAAAGTTCGCATGCAGTTCTACCCCCGCTTCGGCGCACCCCTCACACGGTTCGTGACCCCATGGGGAGCTCCACCAAAGGCTCCAGTGGCAAAGTTCGCATGCAGTTCCACCCCCATTTCTGCGCACCTCTCACAAGGTTCGTGGCCCCAAACGGAGCTCCACCGAGGACGGTAGTTACCATTGCGTTACTCACAACTGCATATGGTTGGGTCCTTCGCCAGGACAATTTTCGTGCGCGGCCCCAGAGGGCCCGAGCCCTTGCCCTGGGGTCGTTTTTCGCTCCGTTCTGTCTTTGGTGGCCTGGGGGCCAGACAACGAGCCCCAGAGGCCGAAACGAAGGACAGCGACTGGGATTGAACAACATGACTTCGTCAGAGATCTGGGATCTGAGCCTCGGCAAGAGCCGACCAGGCCTGGGTCCACCCCAGGCGGCCTCCACCTCAGCCTGGGCAAGAGCCGACACGCATCGCCTCCAGTGAGCACCGTTTGATCGATAGGGCATATCCCCAGCTGAGGGGTGGGATGGTGGGGCTGAGATGGGGATCGGCTATAGCAGGGTCGTGTCATGCCAACTTCGGCCTGGGTTTCCGACACCGCGGGGCTCGTTCCATCTTGAACGATCGCCCGTTTTCGAGCCGTCTGATCGTTCCACATCCACCGATTCTGGGCCGCCACCGGCGTCCAATGTTGAACGCCAGCGGCGGGGTCGCCCCCGGTCGACACGACGCGAGCCCACCGTAGACGATGCTGCTCCGGGCCCAACTCGCTTGGGCGAGGGGCGCCCTCGGAAGCGTCACGCCCGCCGCCCCGCACGTCCTTCAGCGGCGCAGCGGCGCGCGCTCCCCCGGGGCCGGCAGGCCGGCCGGGCAGCGCGCGGGCGCGCCAGGACGGAGAGGGGCCCTCCATGGAGGACCACGACTCCGAGGGTCGAGAAGCTCGCATCTCCTCCTCCCCTGAGATCCTGGCGACTCATTTTTTTCGAGCCGGGCGTTTTCGCATTTTTTCGGGTCCCGGGACCCTCGCAGATCGATCCGGCTTGAAAAATGACGCAGAAAGATGGGCTCCGGGGCTCTGGGCGCGGATTTCCACGATGTTGCAATTTTTTCGCTACGTCGGATCTCAGGGTGGGCAGAAGTCGGCGGGAAGGAAGCTGCAGGGTGGAGAGGCGGCCAGAAGTAGAAGAGAGAGACGTCAGCAGGCTCTGGTCCAGGGTGCCTGGAGTCGGCCACGAGTCTGCGGGCCTGGAGGCCCCCGTGGCCCAGCAGCAGCGGCTGCGTCGGCGCACGCCCACCCCTGCGCGCGCGGGGGCGTCTTGGCCGCACCCCGGGGCCTGCGGCCCAGCTAGGGGCGGGTCGCGGGAGCTGACGACCTGCTGCGCTGTCGGCAGCGTGACTCAGCGCTGGGGCCGGTGGACACGCCACGGCGGGCGCCACCGCGCACCGCCGCTCGATCGCCGAATCTGCTGCAGCGAGGTCCATACCCGTGCACTGAGCAACACGTAGACGGAATACGAGCCGAAGGACGACCAGCGCAGAGGCGGAGCGAAGTGAAGGCAGCGCCAGTGTGATGTGGACGGCCCACAGCGTCAGCGCGGCCGGTGCGCTGAGGACCCCGCCATGACGCCTTGGACGTTCGGCGTGATTCCGCAGCCACTGGTAACCTGGGCTTGAGCCCAAACTATTACGGATGAGGGCGAGGCAGAGGAAGACGAGGAGAGAGGAGGGATCAGGGATGAAGGAGAAAGGGGAATGGGGGAAGAAGAGAAAGGAGGGAGGAGGACTTGAGGAGGAAGGAGGAAGGAAGTAGAAAGCCCCACAAGCGCGAGAAACCTCAGGACTCTTTCCCTCAGCACTCCTTCTTCTTCATGCCAAAGCCCCCCCTTCCCTCACACGACGGGCCTTGGACCTCTCTAGGGCTAAGTCGGGCATGTCCCCTACAGGCGGACTCTGGTTCGGACGAAACATAGAAAGCATAGTCAAGGCAAACTCAAACCTAGTAACAAATAGCCAAACAATCGTCCCCAGACTATCTTTGTGGCTACTTCTGCATTTTCCTCCTCTGGAGGGGCAGTCCCGACGAAGCCTCTGGGAGCGTGCTCCCACCGGCACTCCGGACGGAGCCCGGCCGCGGCGGCGAGGGGCCCGCGGGAGGCCCCGACGAAGGGAAGACAGCCTCCTCCTCCTCCTCCTCCTCCTCCTCCTCCCCACCCTCCTCCTCCTCCTCCTCCTCCTCCTCCTCCTCCTCCTCCTCCTCCTCCTCCTCCTCCTCCTCCATCTCACGCCCGCCGCAAACGACACGCAAATGGCGAGCTGCTCGTCGTCGTCGTCGTCGTCGTCGTCGTCGTCGTCGTCGTCGTCGTCGATGTCGACGTCGTCGTCGTCGTCGTCGTCGTCGTCGTCGTCGTCGTCGTCGTCGTCGTCGTCGTCGTCGGCATCGACGTCGTCGTCGTAAGCGTCGTCGTCGTCGTCGTCGTCGTCGTCGTCGTCGTCGTCGTCGTCGTAAGCGTCGTCGTTGTCGTCGTCGTCGTCTCGCGGGCTGGTCCTGGAGTCCCCGGTCGTTGCGATGCCTCTGACAGCCCCCAGAGATTCAAAGGTCCCAGACGCCCCCAAGGGGCCAAGAACGTTCAAAGCTCAAATCCCCATATGAGACGAAGTCTGGACCGGGACAGGATCGGACCGGGACAACTCAGAGATCTCTGAAATCCGGCGGTTCTGGAGGATGTATCGGGCGCCGCGGCCGTTCTAGAGCGCTCTGGGGAGCGCTATGAAAACGCGTTGGGGACCGCTCTGGAGCGACTTATCTTCCCTTGGGCCCGCCCGATCGCATCCTCGAGCGGCGCAGACGACGACTTTCAGCCAGCCGGTCCTGGGGCCCTCCCTGGAGCCCGTCTCCTTCGCCCGGCGCTTCTCCCGCAACTCCTGCGCCTGGCGGTAGAGGACTCGGGGCAGAGGTTGCAGGATCGAGGACTGCAGAGGACCGCCGCCGCCGATCGCTGAGGACGACCACGAGGTCGACGACGAGGGCGAGGAGGAGGAGGAGGAAGAGGAGGAGGAGGAGGAGGGGGAGGAGGAGGACGACGAGGAGAAGGAGCAGGAGCAGGAGCAGGAGCATGAGGAGGAGGAAGAGGAGGAGGAGGAGGAGGAGGAGGAGGAGGAGGAGGAGGAGGAGAGGAGGAGGAGGGAGGAGGAGGAGGAGGAGGAGGAGGAGGAGGAGGAGGAAGAGGAGGAGGAGGAGGAGCAGGAGGAGGAGGAAGAGGCGGAGGAGGAGGAGGCTCAAATCGCGCGCAGCCGTTGCCCGGCCGCCTCCCTCCTCACCCATTCTTCCCCCTTCCATTCCGCACCTTCCTCCCGCCCCTCACGCGATGGAGAGCGACGTGAACATGGTCGTGGGCCACGACGAGGAGGGGGACGACGACGACATGATGGGGAGGGACGAGGCGGCGGCGGCGGCCGTGCCCCCTGGAGCAGCCCACCTTGGCGGCGCATCCGGCGCCGCTGCTGCCCCGGGGAATGCCGCTGGTGCGGGTGGTGCCCCTCCCGCGCCGGCCCCAGTTCCCAGAGCCGCCGCACGAGCCAAGGTGCGCGCGTGGACGGCGACCCTGCAGCCGGTGCGCCGGCGCGTGGGCCTCTGCTACGTCTGCTGCGAAGGGTTCGGCCACAGAAGGGTGCGGCTGGTCAGCCGTGCCAACCTGGATCGCTATTTCAGGCACCCTGCCTGCATCCCAGGGGGTATCCCCGCAGGCACAGTGGAAGGCCTTGCGGCGCTGCCCGAGGAGGCGCGGGCGCAGGTCCTAGCCTGCATGGTGGGCGGTGCGGCTGGGGCGACGGCCGCTGGCCTGGCGGCGAACGCGCAGGAGGACGCCGGCGGGCGACATGGAGCCCCGCCACACGGTGGCGGCTGAGAAGGGCAAACTCTCTGGGCTCCCGTGGTGGGACACTTTGGACCTTGCAGGCGCGCTTCGCGAACCAGTGCCGACCTGGACGGCTGTTCCTGACAGCCTGACGGCAGCCTTGGGCGACTTGCTGGCAGCCGCACTCATAATCCCAAATCCTTCCAAATCACCATGTCTGGTACGTTGCTCATGGGAACCCGTGAAACTCTTGCACATTAAAAAACCAATGTGCGCGGCCCTAAAGCGAGAGCCACATTTTGAAAAGAAACCGCCCTCAATCCGTGAAGCTCTTGCAAATTAAAAACGAGTGTGCGCGGCGCTAAGGCGAGAATCACATTTTGAAAACGGGTCGCCCTCAATCCGCGAAGTTCTTGAAGCGGATGTGCGCGACGCCAAAGCGATAACAACATTTTGAAAACGACCCGCCCTCAGTGCGTGCAACTCTTGCAAGTTTTTAGAACGAATGTGCGCGGCGCCAAAGGGATAACCACATTTTGAAAACGACCCGCCCTCCATCTGTGAAGCTGTTGTTAATTTTAAAGCTTCAGGGTCACACATGACGAAGAAGTCTCAGGCGAAACGCCCGGCCCGCCCAAAAAAACTGGCCTCGGGGTGCGACAAGGAGAAGTTAAAATACATATATATATATATATATACACATTTATACATGTACATATAAGGGAAAGGAATGGAGGAGGAGGAGGAGGAGGAGGAGGAGGAGGAGGGGGAGGAGAAGGAGGAGGAGGAGAAGGAGGAGGAGGAGGAAGAGAAGGAGAACGCCGACCGCAGAAGCAGCCCAGGCTGACGATCCGACCACGGGGAACACTGGTCGAGGCCCCGCGGGCTTGATGCGAACAAGACATGCAGCGTCGGATGGGTGGGTGTCTGCGCACGGCCGCCTCCAGCGCCAACCGCACACCTGCACCGATCCTGGCCCGGACGAGGCGGGGCCCATGGGTCGGTGCAGGTGTATACCTGGCGCCCTCACAACCTTGACGCTACACGTGGCGGACCCTGGAAACCTCGACGAGCCCCGAGGAACGGGCGTCTCGCGCTTGCCTCCCCGGCCCTCCGCCCGCGGATCTGCCGCCCTCCTCTCGCTTCCGCGGGCCTCGCGCCGAGGGCTGCGACGCGCCGCGGGCGAGGCCCATTCCGGAACGACCCGCGTGCCCGCGCACACTGCCTCCTCCTCCTGCTCGTGGAGGGCTTGGGGGGGGGGCTTGGGGGCAGCGCGCCTTGTCGCGCATCTTCTTATAGCCCAGGTGCAGCTTCCCCTCGAGGTGTGCCTCGTAGTCGGCCTGCTCCCCGGGCAGGCAGCGGACCCCGCACACCTCGCATACGTTCTCCCCCGTCGACTCGTAGGTGTACCTCGCCTTGAGGTCCTCCAAGTCCTCCTTCAGCTTGCCCGACTGAGCAGTGAGCCGCTTGCTCCCCTCGACGTCCCCCTTTTCGGCGGCCTCCTCTGCGAGCTTGAGGCAATCCTCTGCCTGCTGCTTCAACTCCTTCGCTGTGCCCTTCAGGTGAACAGGGATGCGGGTTTCGACGCCCGCGGGCGCAGCCTTCTTCTTCTCCCGCGCGATGCTCGCATCCGCCTCTGAGATCACAGACTCCAGGTAGGCGAGGAATTCTTTTTCATAGGCTGGGAGATGCTTCTCCCTATCCGGGTGGTCCTGGAACTGCTTCCGCAATGCCTCGGAATGCACCTTGGTGCACAATCCGAGATCTCTCCGCCTGGCGTTGAACCAGCAATCGTTTTGATTGTTGGGGCAGAAACCAATGATATACCGCTTGCAGACGTTCTCCTCCTTCCATCCATCGCTGCGCCGCTGCTCCTTGAGGTCCTTGTCTCGCGATGGGCCCATGAGGGAATCCAGGAGCGCCTTGGCGTCCATCATGGTTGCAAGCGCCTTGATCTCCAGATGCTGCGAACTCTGCCAAGGCTAACACGCAAGAGGCATATGATTCAAACCTGCCCTCTGGTCGGCAGAACTCACATGTGGAGTCCAGAACCCTCCGCAATCATGTCTGGGAAACGGCTGCGCCGAGCATTGCACCGCTTCTCCCCGCCGACATCTCCATCTTCAGAATCGATATCTTAACTTCCGCTTCGCTCCCCACGGTCTCTCCCTCTCTCTCGTTCTCCCCCCTCTGTGTCTCCCCCTCTCTCTCTCTCCCTCTCTCGTTTTTCTTCCCCCAACTCGGCTTGCCTAAGAGGTTCTCACTTGGTCATAGCTTGGTGCCTCCTATTGCTACTGTGCCCGTTGCTCGGACGTTCCTCGGGTTCCTCGGGATCCTCGAGTTCCCCGCCCCCGGTGCCTCCTATTGTTACGGTGTCCGTTGCCGGGAGGTTCCTCGGGTTCCCTGGGTTCCTCGGGTTCCCCGCCCCTGGTGCCTCCTATCGTTACGTTGCCCGTTCCTCGGAGGTAATGCCAAGCAGTTCCAAGCAATGCCAAGCAATGCCAGGCGATGCCAATCGATGCCAAGCGATGCCAAGCGATGCCAAGGAATGCCAAGGAATGCCAAGGAATGCCAAGCGATGCCAAGCGATGCCAAGCAATGCCAAGCGATGCCAAACAATGCCAACCAATGTCAAGCAATGCCAAGCGAGGCGCCCAACGATGCGCCCATACAAGAAACTGTCCCCTAATTGGGGTCGTGCTGGGATCATTGTTGTTTCCCTCTCTCTCTATCCCTCTCTCTTTCTTTCTTTCCTTCTCTGTTTTTTTCTCTCTATCTCTCTATCTTTTTGGTTTCCCTCGCTCTCTCTTTCTCCCTGTCTCTGTCTTTGTCTCTCTCTCTCTCTCTCTATATATATATACAGACCCCCCAGACAGTGCCTGTAACTTAGGGGATGGGGTGGGCAGCCCGAAGCTTCTTGTTGGTGGCCGCCCCGTGGCCGCGCCGTGGCCGCGCCGTGGCCGCCCTGCGGCCGCCCGTGGCCGCCCAGTTTGGCTCGCATCGCATACCTTGCGCCGTGCAGCTTGCCCCGCAGCGTGTTCACCACGCAGCTTGCACCACGGAGCTCCCGCCGCCTAGCTCTCACCCTGCGGCTCGCCGCGCCTTCGAGCTGGCACCGGGTCCCTTGCACCACGCACCCTGGCTGATCTCACGAGCCCGTTCGCGCCGATTTTGGTGGGACGTCTCAGCTAGAATTGCCGTTTGGCGCCCCCAACATGTATCTCTTGAGAGCCTCATGGTCACAAAACGCTGCCAGGGGCAGACCAGGCAGATTGCAGCACACAGCTTGCACCACATAGCTTTCGCCTCGACGGTGCACCAACTCGCACTCCCCGAGCGGGGGCTCGCGCTCGCCGCGCCGCCGCCGGGGGGGGCGACCCTCGCGGGCGCCCTGTTCGCAGGGTGGGTCCGTCGAGGCTTCGCCGCGGTGCCGCTCGTGGGCGCCCAAATGCGCTGGGTGGGTCCGCCTCAAGGCTTCGCCCCGCTGCCGCCTCGTGGGCGCCTCGTGGGCGCCTCGTGCGCTGGGTGGTTCCGCCGAGGCTTCGCCACGCTGCGGCCCGTGGGCGTCTCGTGGGCACACCGTGCGTGCGCTACACAGCTCACGCCACACGGACTGCACTACGTAGCTTGCACCTCGCAGCTCAGACTGCCTCCGCATGGCTTGCACCGCATGGTTCACACAGCTCACACCACATACACTGCACCGCGTAGCGTTCACCACGTAGCTCACGCCACGCATATGGCACGGAACAGCTGTCACCATCTATACTGCAGCACGCAGCTCGCACCAAATGTATTCCACCGCAGGTATTGCACCACATAGCTTGCACTATTTAGCTCGCGCTACATACGCCACATAGGACTGCATAGCTCGCACTACATACAGTGCACCACATATATTGCGCCACATAGCGTACACCTCACTGCTCACACTACAGAGATCAAGCCACAGTACATAGATCACGTCCACTTAGATCATAACACATCGATCATAACACATAGCTTGCACGTCCACAAGGCGATATCACACTGTCTGGGTTTCACGCTCAAACATATATCCGCCGGCCCCCTTGCGGGGCCATCAAGCTGCGAGGCTTAGGCTTGCTGCTCCCTGCTCCAGCTGCAAATTCCGGCTCCCATTGTGATAATATCACTTTCTGCTTCCTACTGTAAATTGTTACCGTCCGCGCGAGCGGGGGGAGCTCCAAACCGCCGGGTTACCACGCCCGAATCACGTCCTCAGGATGCCCGGGGGGTCGTGGGACACGTGAGAATACTTGAGATTCGTGCTCCGAGGCCATAACCATTTGTAAACTACACAATGTTCGCGTCCCCGAGTGTGTGCGTCCCCAAAGCAACCCCTTGTAAATTACATAATATTCGCGTCCCCGAAATCACAAACTCTGGCAAATTACACAGTACTCGCATTGCCGAGGCCCAGAATGCTTCAAGGCGCCCGAAGATGGTTCCAAGACGGCCCAAGAGGCCCCAAAGAGGCCCCAACAACGCTCCGAGAGGCCTCCCGAGAGAGCCCCAAAAGGCCCAAATCGTAGATTTTACGAAAGTTTTTGAAGGAGTTTGGCCTTCTCACATTTCGGCTTTCCGATACCCAAGACGGCTCAAGAAGCTCCCAAGACCGCCCCAAGACAGCCCAAGACGCCTCCAAGAGGGCTCCAAGACGGCCCAAAAGAGGGCTCCAAGATGGCCCCAGAAGCGCTCAATACGGCCCAACAGGGCCCAAGACGGCCCCAAGAGGGGCCCAAGCAGGGGACCACGAACCGAACATTCGATAATTGTGCCCCGAGAAGCCCTCAGGAGGCCCCAAGAGGCCGCCAAGAGGCCCCAAGAGGCGCCCAAGACGCGCCCAAGAGGCCTCCAAGAGACCCAGAAGATACCCCACGAGGCCCCATGAGAGGCGCCCAAATCGCCTCCAAGAGGTCCCCGAGAGGCTCCCCTACGACCCCCCAACACATCTACAAAATGCCTCAGACCCACAACCCAGGCACGGTGGGGGGATGGACCTACGGCCACCAGGATAACGCCAACGTCTCAAATGCGCTGATGATTCCTATCCGCCCCGCATGCTGTTATCCGATGCGCCAAGGCAGCGCCGAGACGCACCGACGCGACTCTGATATATCCCATTCTGATAGAGAGGGGACCAGCGGCAGGGGACGAAACCCTTACTGATATACATATATATATATATATATATATATATATATATATGTATGCATGCATGCATGCATGCATGTATGCATGTATGTATGTATGTATGTATGCATGCATGTATGTATGTATGTATGTATGCATGTATGTATGTATGTATGTATGTATAGAAAGCATACATACATACGTACATCTATACATACATACGTACGCACATACAAACATACAATCATACACACATACATACACATACACACATATGTATACACATATAGCTATTTTTATATTTACATATATATATATACATGTGTTCAATTTCTCTCTCTCGCTCTCTCCCTCCCCTCTCTACCAACAACTCTTTCTCTCTCTCTCTCACTTTCACTCCCTCTCTCTCTCTGTGTACCTCTTCTTCTCCCTCCCTCCTCCCCTCCGGCTCTCTGTCACCTTCTCCCTTCCTCACCCTCTACCTCTCTTTCCCTGTCCCTGATCTTTGGTACTTGTATGTCGATATACACGTATGTGTGTATATATATGTATATGTATATGTATGTATATGTCTATATATACACATATACATATGTGTATATATAGATATGTGTATGTGTGTGCGCGCGTGTGTGTGTGTGTGTGTGCTTGTGTGTGTGTGTGTGCGTGTGTCTGTGTCTCTCTCTCTCCCTCTGTCTCGCCTTTCCCTCCCTCCCTCCATCTATCCCTCTCTTACCCCCCCCTTCTCCTTTCTCATCCGCCCTCTCTCCCGCCCTCCCTCTGGCTCTCTTTGGTTCTCTCTCGCCTGCCTGCCTTCCTGCGTCTGTGAAGGCCCCTAAGAGGGCTCTGATCGGGAGAATCCTGCTCGCAATGTGGGCGTCGCCAAATTGGTGGCAGATGGCAATGAATGGGAAGGAGGAAAGGTACACTTTTCGGGCCTTACAGGCTCCTTTTAGGCCCTTTACGGCCCCTTCAGGGACCCTAAAAGGGCCCCTTTTCTGCAGCCCTCGCTGGCCCCCGTTTATCGCTCCCCCACTACGCGACGCCCAAGAAAGGTTCCCCAAGTGTTCCATCGTGTCTCCCACTTTGCGGGCGCAATCGTGGGAGAACATCGGGGCTGTTGCCGACATAAACATGCTCCCCCCTCTCGTGCGGATCCTTCTCCTCTGCTTCACCGTCTTGGTCTTGGTCCTGATCGTGCAACTTCTTCTGCTCATGATCTTGCTGGGGCTCTCGCTCCCGATTCTCCTACTCTGCGTTGTTGTCGCCATCAACATGCTTTTGATATCTTCATTCACCAAGTCCAAAGGATGGGGTTCTTGTTGTTATTCCAACCGCGCTGACTCCTTCACCCCTCTCTCCTCCTCTTCCTCATGTAATGTTGTTATGATATGTTATGGTATACTGTGCTATGCTACCTTATACTGTTGTTGTGGCGTGGCATATTCTGGTATCGTATTTCCCACATCCAACAGATGGGACTCTTGTTCCTCATATCCAGAGGAGGGGGTTTCTTGTTCGCAATATCAAAAGGATGTGGTTCTTGTTATTACCGACCGCGCCGACTCCTTCACCCCTCCCTCCTCCTTTTCCTTAACATGTTATGTTATGCTATGTTCTGATCTGCTATGCAAGGCTATATTATGCTATGGTATGAAGAGATATGCTTGGTATGCTGTGTTGTGCTATGTTATGGTTTGTGCTGCTATGATGTACATTTGTGTGTTGTCATGGCATGGTTTGTTATGTTAGTTGTGTCACGATGGTGATGACGATGACGATG